CAGCTTTGCTTGATGTGAGAACTAATGACTTATAAAAGGGATAGAGAGAGGATTGTCACTTGGTCTTCGATGCTTCGTTCATTGAAAAAGATAGGAAAAATCATGCGGGAACCTAAAATCAGAAATCACTTCAAACCGTGCCAGCGCTGCAAATATCCACAACAAGGGGACTGGTCTGCTGAAAGGTGCAATTTATAACCGCAACAAGGGCTTCAAAGATATCCACGCTCGCCCTTGATGCAGGAGACGAGGATTGTGGTGGGGGGAGGAGAAAGATAAGCGTCCGAAGAGCGGTACCGCTTCCATTTCGAACACCCACCGACTCCATCAGAGTGCCTTTAACGACCTTGAGTACAGCCTCAGCCCGTCGCTGGCACCAGGTTAATGACAAGCTCTGGAAATGAAAAGTAGGAGGAAGTAGAGGAAAAGAGGCATTTCTGGTATGGAATGGTTTGAGGATTCTTCTCCGTGTAGCCTTGTAGTCGCTTCAATGGCAATCAGACCATCTTGTTAAACAGTAATGTATCTAAATTTGCTTAGACTGTACACTGCACATTTGAAAACTTTTGTTTAACCAAGAAGCCGAATACCCGCAAAACACTTCAATATCTTATTTTTTAAAATAAAGTCAATGGTATGATGGCAAAAATGGTGTCTTGATTAATGGGTGATTTAGTGCCGAGAGATGAAGCCGTTGCAATAGTTCAGTCATCGTCCTGCCAACGCTTCCCTGTCACGTTGTGTGCATTAGCGTGGTTATCCTCGAGCTTCCGATAGCAAAAAAAGAAAGCATAAGGAACCCCATGCAGAGGTCTTTGCTGTCAACTCATAAGCCGGAGGTAAATACACTGAACCCGCACCCGGTGGTTGGGATTGGTAACCCAAGATAATCCTATTCTTAAACACCTACGTGTTATGAACCTAAGAGAAAGGACCATGTGAGATCATGAGCTTTGATAGCTCCTAGAAACGCCTATCAAACAGAGAAAGGACCGCATTGTGGGGTCGCAAACACCCCAACTGAGGAGGCGCAAAAGCACCCGACTACTCTGTATTCAGTCGGATGGGTGGCTCTCGATGGATGTACCCACCTCGCGTTACTCATTGGTACAGCTCAAGTGTTCCCATTAGCTGACGAATTTACGGTCAAAACGATAAAGCCATCCACCAGAACATGAGTTTCCAAGAAGGCAGCTACCTTGAAAAATCAGGATTATTTAGAGATGCTTCAAATAGCACCAATCAACACAACGAATTTCCAAATGAAACAGCAAAATATAAATTCTCCTCCGACTTTTAATATTGATTAAAAAATGTACACACAAGCTCGATTTTCAACCAAAATCCAACAAGCGGTTTCCTTCCATGCAGTCTACAATCACATTACAGTTGCAATGGCAGTTGTCGCGCACAACTCCAGCCATACGCCATCTGTGCTTCTAATCTTCCAGTCCTAGTGCACCACCAACCACAGCTAAGTTATTTATAGCCTCCTTCATGACTGTTAACATGACCATGGGCGACTCCTGCGCTTCACGGTAACATAAAGAATGCAGACACAACTGATCGGTAAATGAAAGACATCAAAGAAAAGCGATCCTCTACTTCGTAAGTTTTGCAGACTTTGCAGTAAGCTTACTTTAAGGTTTTGATTGAAAAGTGGTTAAACTTTGCGTATGTTCAACTCGAGGAAATTTTATGCAAAAAATAAGTGCAGTTCAACACAAAATCGTTAAAAATCTAATATTTCCTGCCTAACCACAACGAAAAAGAATCTATACTTGAAACCAGTGAGAATGAAGATGAAAAATAGATATGCAGAATTAACAATCTTTCAGGTGAAATCCAACTTACTTCCAGGGACCGTCGGGTAAACAGTAGTGGCATAGACAGTGTACTGATATCGTATTGATTGCAAACACGAAGAACAGTGGAAATAGCCACATGGAGGTGTGGAGAAAGGGAAGAAGAGACACCCTTACCTCCCATTGCCTCCCCTTCCGTCACCACGTGAAAGACTACCTCCACCCCACCACCTCCGCCCGCATTTCCACCTATTTCGCTAGCTCGAAGGTTTGAATGACGTGTGAGGTAGACATCACCTGGCTTTGGGCGTCCCTTCATCATGCTGGCAGCTAAAAATGGGACATTACTTGGTTTGAAGCTGAATACAAGAACTAAAAATTCAGCGGCTAAAATGTAGCTATTGACTGAAATTTAAGTAGCACGAATTCACACTAAACTAAACATTGGATGACCGCTCGCCTTCAGAGTTTTTTATTATTTCCTGAATATCAGCCAACTGACGATCTAATTCAGGAAAGTGGAAGTCTGTCGAGAGTTCGCATACTTCAGCAATACCTAAAAGGAAGAATTGTGGACAAGCCTTTGTTTGAACTTACGTTGCTGAGTCCTGGATTGAAACATCTGGCTGTCGACTAGAATAACTAGACCAGTCAAGTCGTTGGAATAAATAGTGAGCGCGCTGCTCAGTCGCTCAGCTAAATTTACAGTAGTCTCAACACTATAAAATTCATAAAATACCCCTACTTTACAAAAAAATAAACTGACCTAGGAGGAGAATTTGAGGTGCCAGTAGATCCTATGGGTGTCATGAGATCTATAGGATCGGCTTCAACCAATTTTAAGTTATAAAAGGACCGAAGCTGACGACCCAACTGAATCATGAAGCTTTCGGAACGTGGTCCCGCTCTATTTTGATTGTTAACCACAATTCGAGATGTTGTTTGGGTTGAACCAGCACCCCTTCACAACATTAAAACATGGTTACAGCAGTGCCTACAAGAAGTCAACGTGGCAAGATTTTGCGAACCCACCCCATATCGCAAGGCTTAGGAGGCAAAGGTTTGGATAAATCAGCCTGCAGTATTTGCTCTTCAATGGACATGACAAAGTTACGATAGTCCTGGCGCTGAGTCTCCTTTAAATCACTTATTCTACTGTTCCAGGTCATCTTCTGAACCTCATACTCCGAGTGAAAGCGGCGTTGAAGTTCCGAAACCGCATCTGTCACACTGATTTCCTCATTATTCTTCGATAGCAGCGCCTCTGTGCTATCCACAATGCTGAAAAATATGAATAAAACATGAATAATTGCAACCGATAACAAGAGGCACTGAGCAAATATATTTGATAGATAGTTTTAATATGATGAAAGATACTTAATCTTACTTTCTCTGAAGAGCACTAAGAACACGATCGCGTTCAACAATCTCTGTTTCTATAGCAAGAGCAAAGGAGTGTTCTAATTGAATGAGATCCATTGCAGCTGGCGATTGGACTATCTTTGAGTAGGTTTGACCGAAAATTTCCTCATCTGTGGGCGGCTCAGTTTGGAATCTTGTGGATATTCGCTAATTTAAAAAAATGCACTGCAAGGAATGAATATCAACCAAACCTCATTGACACGTTTCTCCAGTGAGGCAGCAATGTGTAATGGTTTGTTCTCATCCAAACGAAGATAGTCGTATAAACGCGTCAAATGGTCGTCAATGAAAATTCGTTCATTTTCTTTGATGAATTTTAGCAATGCATCAGAAAAGTCTAAAAAAGACAGGGTATTCGGTATTCTTCCAAAGGAGCAAGCAACCAATAGTTTACTGTTAAACCTTTTTCAGCGAATTTGGGAATGTCGTGATCAAGAATAAGCCGAGATAATAGCCAACTTGGTGGTTGGCAGAGAGGAATGTCCAAAGTTTCCGTGCAAGATACTTTGAAGGAATCCTTGTAGACCTTTTCGAAGGAAAATTGAACTGCCTTAGACATTCCTAACTGAATAATGGACAAAAGTGGGTCACAAGGCAACAAAAGCAGAAACAATAAGCATTGCCCTGAGCGAAAATTAGGATGGAACGGTTGTAAACAAAATTCCTTAGGGAGCTAGAATCAAAGTAAACTAAAGTCAAATGCACTATTTAATCCCATAAACCGTACTTCAGTGCCGACGACGACGAGTGAGCGAACCACAAGGATTTCAATGGAAATTTCGACTGTATATATTATTACTTTACTGGAAGAAAGTCAGGGAAGTCATTTGTACAAAAATACAAGCAAACAATCAGCGAGATGAGTACCCCAGACCGGTCATCCAATCGCCAACGTGCAACTCCAAAGCCCTCCCCAAAGATTAACAATTACAACAACCCTAAATGTTAGGTTATTTTTTGTTACAAGTTTTGAACACCATACTATAAGTTAAGTATTATTAAAAAGCGTTAGGCGTTAAACAACCGTTCTTTGCAAGTGACTGATGTCGTATATATGTATTTAATAATTAAATAATACCTATCAATAAATATGGACTAGGCCTTTGATACTCTAAAGGTAGGATGGCGTTCTTAGACTTCGCGTAGAAATTAGAGGACAAGATACCTGGCTAAACGCACAGATTCAGATAGGAAGGAAAGGGATGGGCCTTTTGACTGTATAATAGACAACGTAATAAAATCGTCCTAGTAATTTGGGAATGTCCATTAAAGTATGTCACTGAGAGAATTTGAATCTTGCTTTGCCTGCCTCTCATACTTGTTGCTGACCGAACATAGTGGAGAAATCCAAGACTACTGGTTAAACAATGAAATATGAAGCTTGAACCACTCTTTAAAGTTAGATTAAGATTAGAGTTAATTGAAGTTCCAACGAGTTGCAAATGTAACAATCGAAATCCATTGGTCGGACATGGACTCAGAAAATAGGCAGGCACCGAATCACTGAACTTATCTATTCTTTTGGTCTTTGTTTTTTGCACAATTTGGCATGAAATGCGACTAATCGTGTGGGCTCATCAATGCTCGCATTTCATTTTCGCCAAATTCACTTATAAATTAATGCCTTGCCGTTGATTCTACGATCATATAGTGCCTTTGATCTTTCGGTAAACCCAGCCATTAGCACTGCATGATGATACACACAAATGATAGGTGATTCCATTACTTTGTTTTCTGTCTTCTTTCGAGGTGAAATTACCGCGAAATTGTAAGATCGAGTTCGCAAAATTAGGGCTCACTAACATTCTTTTCTACCATTTGTACTTTAGTCATTTGATAGTTTGGTTCATTAGATTGTTCCAATGTTTTTAAACGAATCTGATATAAAAACAAACAGTGTTTTTATAGGCGTTGGTGTTCCATTTTTGCATTGCTGTAATGCTGTCTGAGGAGGTTGTGATTGACGCTTTGATGAGCTGAGCAAACTGTGTACGGAATAGGTGATAAGCCGTCAACGCGAATGACTTAATGAGGGATTCCCGATACCGTTAACGGTAAATCGACATGTTGTGGTGACAACCCACACCAATGAAAAATGGCATTACCACAGCTGCAGGGTCCTGCTATCGAGTAGAAACCCAGCTTTACGCAAGTTGAAGAGTCGGTGCACTTGTGTAAGCGAAATTATCATCACTGCAGAGTTTTTCGCAACGGCGGGTGAATTAGGTCGAAACGGTTGTTGAAAAGTAACAATTTTGGGACTGTTTTGACTGGAGAATTTGTTATGGTGGCGACGACTTCCTGCCTACTTACTGGTTTTAATTTAAACTACTTTACTGAGGGAACAAATCGACTGCTTTACTCATCGCACATGCACCCATTCCGTAACAATTAATCTTGCGTCCATCGCAGCACTACCCATTCGTTCCCAACCTCATCGAGTCATTGACTATTTCATTAAATGGGTGAACACCAATTTATGCATCCTGTATACTTTTCCAGCCGACCAGCTCTCCCGTCGAATATTCCACACTTTCCCAATCATCCCATTTTCAAAATGTCGGTGTTTATGTCGGCAACCGTGTATGCATTCACTGTTTCACCTCAAAAAGGAGTTGCGCAACTTTTGACAAGTTCATGTCAGGGAAATGGCAGCTTCTTAAAGGGTCCTAAAAGTCGGAATAACTAAGTCTAACTTTAATTTTCCGAAAGAATGGATTCCAACTTCCTTCACGAACAGTAGGGCGGATTTGTTTGGTCGAATCTGTGAGAGTTTACATTTTCTAATCAAAAGGAATGGGAGGAACGATGGAGGAACGATGCGAGAGCGAGAGAGAGAGGGAGAGAGTGAGAAAGACCAAGAGCCAGAGGAAGATTTGGAGAATGAGTTGTTAATGGAGAACCTGCACAACTTCCGGACTTGTGTTTATTAAATCGGACTAAATGAACCTCACTCGCTTTCAATAAATCGGCTTCCTGTTCACCACCAGCTTCCTGCCTGGACTTTTAGTCTGTATTTAGACGATACGATTACATGTGCACGGCTTATTACGGCAGTAAATTATGCGGTTTCGGGTAGTACAAATAGGCAATTTTGTGACCAGTGGCTCTGCAAGGATCCTTGACCCAAGTGAGGCGAGGGGACTGTGTACAGCTGCTAGAAGAATCCAACTAACCAATTAAAAGTCGTCAACTCGACTAATGCGATGACACTCGATTCCAAAGACTCTTTGAGAAGTCACTGATAATATAACCAATTGACAGGATTTTTGCTGTCCGCAGTGCATGCATGTTGGGAGAGTTAAGAGGGGAGAAAAGCCACCCTGCCGATTGAGCACGTCACCAACGCGTTACATCATCGTTAGTTTAAAGCTCAAATCACTGCGATTGATCTGCATGATAATTTTTTAAACAACAAAAAAAGACAGATGGTGGTTATAAAGACTTAAATCCACCCACTGAGAAGGGTCAAATAAAGCATCACTATAAGTGATGAATTTTGGGTCTCCCTCAGTCGTGAAGTAGCCGCCTTCTTTCCTTGGAAGAGGTGATGAGAAGGGAGGCGAATTGAAATGGGCTTCAAAAGTTACGAGCCGTAGTCTGTTAAAGAAATTGCGGACTTAAGGCCGATTAACTTAGAGACTAAAAGTGTACCCAAAAGCTCTGCATTCTGATCTTTTTCAGGAGCTTGTTTATCGCTGAAGTAAAAGATGAGAGGAATCAAAAGTCTATGTCCTGATGATATCGTCTTGCCAAAAATTCATAAGATTTTTTTTGTCAAGGCTTTATAAATTATGCCCGATTTATGGGTTCAACATTAAGTCACAAGATTTAGGTGCATTACTCCATGAAAAAATGGCTTTACTTTCTTAATTTACTGTGGCAAAGTATTTAACAGTGAGAACCGTTTGCCAGTCAAGCCGATCATCATTGGGGTCGACAAACGACAACTTTAGGAGTCATCCTCAGCATTCCACCGCCACTCGTCACCAGACCCTATTACTCCTGTGTTTGGCAGTTTTGACATGACATATTCTCCCATCTCTCATTACACCTTCCTCCACTGCTTGCAAGGCGGTTGCACATCTTGCACAGAACTGAACTGGAGCTCCTCAAACCGACCAGCTGAGACACACAACCTCCAAATGGATTTTACCTCATCATCAGAAAGTGAAGACATTGCTAAATTCTTCTCCGCTTTGCATGCGTCTGTATGTTAAAAGTGGAGTTGAGGCAGACTTTCTAACCACCCACCCCAGCTCAAGAGAGACATCGGATCATGCGGGAAATTTCTTCACCAAACTAG